TTTTTTTTCAAAACAATAGAGGTCATTATATTACTCAAGCGAGAACAATGTTTTAATACAAACGGGGAAGACCCCAATAAACCCGAAATAAAAAACTGAGAGGCACATCAACAAAATGGCCTAGAACCTCACAGTAACAACAACAAACACATATCAATACTAGATTATAAACCCTTAACCACTGCCTCAAGGTCTAGCAAGCAACTTTTACAACCAAAAAAGCAAGATAACAATAGAAGCCACCAGAAAAAACAACTAACTAGGAAATGGAGATAAGTTCCTGCCAATCTGAGATTGTAGTTTTGATGAGCATGTGAACTGAGAGGAGAGACCTTTAAAATATCCAAGCATTGCGCGTCTTCCACAACCACCAAAGTAAAATAAGTGGTAAGTTGAATTCTATAGGTGGAAGTATTAGACTTAGGGATTGAACAGACTTGGTGCCACCAATGTTTGAAGGAGATAGTGTGATTGAGGATACCTTCCCATGATACATGAGCTAGTTTCCAAAGTGTTCTGGCTCTGTGGCAAGTAAACAACAAGTGCTCCACTGTCTTCCACAACCACCAAAGTAAATAAGTGGTAAGTTGAATTCTATAGGTGGAAGTATTAGACTTAGGGATTGAACAGACTTGGTGCCACCAATGTTTGAAGGAGATAGTGTGATTGAGGATACCTTCCCATGATACATGAGCTAGTTTCCAAAGTGTTCTGGCTCTGTGGCAAGTAAACAACAAGTGCTCCACTGTTTTCTGATCCTCTCCACACCTGCAGCAAGTGTCAATCTTTAACCCTTTGGTCTATGAGTTAGCCAGAACAGGTAGAGACCAATTGAGGCATTTCCAGATAAAGATCTTTATTTTTCCAGGGATCTTCAGTGTCCAGCTCCTTTGGAGAGTATTCTTCATCATCCTGGTGGAGAAGCTGCTTTCAGGTAGGTCTATGCTGTGGGATTTCAGTTGACCAAGGTGGTTGTAAGTACAGGAAACTGAGAACCTCCCATTACTATCCAGCCCCCAATACTTTCTATCTTTTTCCCTAGACTTCAGAGTGTTGATAGCTAAAATTGCTCTGCTATCCTCTTCTGAGAAGACATGCTTAACCAACCATTGATCCCACCTTGATCCATAATCAAGAATGAGATCTTTCACATAGATAAGATGACCTCTGGCTATCTCATTCAATTTAGGCCTAGATTTTGTTAAAAAATGGACCCGATTATTGTCCTCAATGAGTATCAAGCAAGCAATTACAAAGACATGATCCCTTGGGGGATTTGAAAGCCTGAAGTATGGATGAGTTAGGGTAGTAGCAGTCTTTCAAAATCTGGCTAACAAGTAGGGCTGTAAACGAGCCGAGCCGAGCTCAAGCTTAAGATGTTTGAGCTCGAGCTCGAGCTCTTAACGAGCCGAGCCGAGCTCGGCTCATTAAGTAAACGAGCTAAAAATTGAGCTCGAGCTCAGCTCGTTAAGGACTCGATTTCGAGCCTTAACGAGCCGATCTCGAGCTTTAACGAGCTGAACTATAAAAAATTACATAATTTTTACTTTTCAAGCCTTAACGAGCCTTATCGAGCTGAGCCAAGCTCGGCTCGTTAACCAAACGAGCTTTAAACGAGCTCGAGCTCGGCTCGTTATGGCTTCGAACTCGAGCCAAACTGAGCCTTAACGAGCTCGAGCTCGACTCGTTAAGGCTTCGAACTCGAGCCGAACCGAGCCTTAACGAGCCGAGCTCGAGCCGAGCTGAGCCAGGCTCGTTTAATTTAACAGCACTCCTAACAAGCAAGTCTAGTTGAGAAGTTATTCTCCAGAGCTGTTTGCAAACTAAAGCCTGGTTGAAGAGTTGAACATCATGGAATCCACTATTCAATTTGGGCAGAGTCATCTTTGACCAGCTTTTCCAGTGAATGTCAGAAGCTCTCTTCACTTGTTTTCCACCAAAAATGAGCACAGTTTTTTCATTGAATGCCCCCATTGATCATATATGCTATATTTTTTTCTTTTTTTTTTTACTGGAATGAAAATAACCAATCAACCTCATTATTTCATCTTCTACCCTTAAGTTGTCCACATATTATTGGGTCAAAATTATCTACATAGAAACACCTCCTTCACGCTTTTCCCTCAGCATTATGTAGCTTCATTTTTTTCATGTGAGATGAAAATTAACAATAACAAACCAAAACTTCATTCAATCCACAATTGAAATTTTGATGCTGCATGACGACAAAATAAAATTCGTAACAATATACCATTCACAACCAAATATGAAGAACAAATCCAAGTTATAATTGACCATATGAAAGTGGAAAGGCGGAATGGGTTTTGGGGTTTCTGAACCAAAGCAAACCAGAAGAACAAATTCGCTGTTGGGGCGGCGTTCTCTGATTATTTGTGGGAGGGAAAAAAAAGTTAGCTTCGCTAGCTGTTGAGATCCCTATTGGTTATCAGCCTCTGCTCTGCCCCGTGCTCTTCAAGAAATGAAGGCCATCAGTATGAATTTTTACATAACCCGACAGTGCCCGGAATGCCAACAAACCCAATGTCCCAAGGGCGAATTTACGATACTTGAAAGCTTGGTTGACACGAGCACAACTTTCGATGGAACAGAATGGGAAAGGAAATATGAATATCAAAAATCATATTTCAACAATACTTGAAGAATCTTTCAAATAGCTTTGTTGCCTTGTTTATTAATGATGGCTCTTTTTTTTCGAAAAAAGAGGTTCAGCTATCTTTTTGAAGGCGATAGTTCACAGTGCTTATTCTAGATATACTTGAAAATCCACCTCATGTTTCCACTCTATTTTCATTACGAAGATGTATCACGTCAGGATCCGTTGTTCAAACTGAATCACGCCAACGTTATGGAAGTTCCTGGATTGTGTAAAATAAGAGTAGTACCAAAGGCAGCACCTTCTATCAAAAATGGAAAATTGGCTATGGAGATTTCGTGCGGTCAGAAATGTTTACAGACACAAAGAACTTCGACAGGAAAGTTCTTTCGATCCTCTTTTATGACTTCACTTCGCTTCGCTTCTAAAGTTGGGTCAAATAAAGACAAAAAAGGATATGTCAGTGACCTAGCACGACAAAGCACTCTCCAGGGCATGGAATGTCTAATTTTTTGGTCAGAATCTCCACAGTAATGTCTCTATTAGATTCTCCGGTCGAAATACGGGAAAACTCTATTCAATTCTCGATGGAAACGGAGTTTTGCGAATTCTCCCCAGAACTGGAAGATCATTTCGAGATCTTCGAACATATTCGAGGGTTCAATGTGACTATTGTCACTTCGTCCAACACACAAGATGAGACTTTACCCCTGTGGAGCGGCTTTTTGCAAAAAGATGAGGGTCGACGATACAAACGAAGCGAAGCGAAGTGAAGTCAAAAAGGAAAAGGAAGGAGAAGCGAAATATACGAGATCACAAACGTAGATTGCTCGCGGCTAAATATGAATTGAGACGAAAGCTTTATAAAGCCTTTTGTAAAGATCCCGATCTTCCTAGTGATATGCGGGACAAACATCGTTATAAGTTGTCCAAGTTGCCAATAAATAGTTCCTTTGCACGAGTAAGAAACCGATGTATTTCCACGGGACGCCCTCGTGGAGTATATAAGTTCTTTAAAATTTCTCGTATCCTTTTTCGTGGATTAGCATCTCGAGGTCCTTTGATGGGCATAAAAAAATCGTCTTGGTAGCAACCATTACCAGTAATCCTTTTAACGCGCATAAGAGAGTTAGCTTGTATAAGAGTCAAAATAGGACGAATTAAAATAAAGGTCCAACTCGTACTAAGGCTAAAAGATAGCGAAAAAAATTATCCCTAGAGTCGAAACTAAAAGGAATGTATAAACCAATGCTTTCATAAATTTGATCGCAGTTTACAATTATAGCTTCCCAAACCAAGAAAATTGTAGTTTGTTACTCACAATCTCAAAGCAAATGACTGGATTATTTCAGTTTTTTTTTTTTT